GTCTTTTCATATCGCAGGCGAGCGCCCTCATCCCTGGGCTGAACCCGCAGCAGAGGCACCTCCTCCCCGGCCAGAGTCCCCACAGGACGGGAGCTGCTGGCCCCCTCGGAGCAGACCTGCCGAACTGGGCCCTGAGGGCGAGGTGAGTGGGGGGCACCGATTCTCTCCATGCTCCTGGCCCCCCCCAGCCGCCTGGATCTCAGCCCCTGCCCCACTGGGGCCCCCAGGCTGGAGTCCCCCCTTCTCCGGTCAGACCCCTCCTGCTGCATGGAATATGGAGCAAGCTGGGCAGGGCCCGATCCTGCAAACCCTCCCAGCCCAAGCCTGGTATTGGTGGCCGGGGCTGCTGCCGTGTCTAAGGGCTGCTATGTGTGTGTGTGTGTGTGTGTTAGGGGTTTTTCAGGGGATCTTGGTGGCTGGGAGAGTCAGAGCTGAGCAGCAGGGCCGGGCACCAGGGGCTGGGCTGTTTGCTCCCCCTCCTGCTCCAGGGCTTCCTTATTTGGAAGGGTTTATAAGAATCCAGTCTCCACTCTGGGCTGCTCAACACATCACATGACAGGATGCTGCGGCATCCGGCGCCTGCCCAGAGCTCAACTGAGGCTCCAGCTCGGTCAATAAAACTCCCCACACCTGCCGGCGGCACTGCGCAGGGGGAGAGTTAGAGTTCTGGGCCAGCTGCTCTTCCAATTGTGTGTCAGCTCTCCTGAGGACATTTGTATATTTCACTGGCCAGAGTTTAGGCTCCTTTCGATTTTCCTCACTAGGACTGAACTTCCATCTTTTAAACGATGCCTTTTTCTCTCTCGCTGCTTCTTTCTGTTACTCGGTTGTTAAGCCACGGGGGCACTTTTTCGGTTCTCTGAGTGTGTTCTCATTTGGGGTGGACATTTAAGTTGAGCCTCTATTACGGTGTCTTTGAAAAGTTTCTTGCAGGGATTTCACTTTTGGCTCTAGACCTTTGTAACCCCCAAGGAGATTACGTAGATTCCCGGGGCTCTGTCTGCTGGCAGCTCAGGGAGAGGCACTCTGAGTTTGCCTTGGCTCCCCCTCCCTACCAGGGACAGAATCTGCCCAGAAACCCATAGGGAGAGAGATGCCCCTCCCAGGGAGTTCAGGATGGGGAGGAGGAGCTATGGTTGGGGGAGTCTGGAGCCCCCCCAGGGCATGGGGCGGGCTGGCTGTGTGGGAGCTAGTAAGCCCCAGGCCTGCATGCAGGGTTCCCCCTGAGAACTAGCCTCTAGGGACGGGAAGGCAGGATCCCTCAGCTGGGTGTTATGTCTCCACTGTTGATTTCCAGTTTGTGGAGTTTGCTAGGAGGCTTCCCCAGCGAGGCAGAGCTGGCTCTCCTGCTCCCTGGGTGAGACCAGTCACCGCATGGTCAGCTCTGCTCTAGCTGTGAGTTCAGGGCTGCTGCCTGCTGTGTGGGTCTGAATGCTGGGCTAGGAGGTTATAGTTTGAATTTTGGTGCAGTTGTGTGGCCTGCACCTTGAGCCCGGCACCCCTTTGTGGTGAGGGGAAATCCTGGGACCGAAGCAGCCTGATCCCTGCCTGAAGAGGATCCCTGCCAGGAGAGAGCAGCCCCTCTGCAGTGACTGAGTCATCTCTGAACCTGAGGCTCATCCATGGAGTGTGTGAGTGCAGCATCTTTTAGTTAGTAAGTCAGGGAATTTGTTTGAGGATTTTACAACCTGTGAAGGATTTTACCACCTTCTCCCGCTTGTGAGTCCTTTGGGCTGTACTGGACCTAGTCAGCCCCACTGCTAAACCACTGCAGAGAAG